ATGTGAGGCTGGCAGGACCGGGCAGTGGTCCGGTCTCTTGTGCACAGGGTCGCGCTATGGGTCGGAACCCACTCGATGACAGCTGACCACAGAGCCAACGTTCCGTATATTTTTTGCTTCAAACTTCCTCCTCCTCCTCCTATTTGTTTGATATTGCTGGTACGTTCCGTATTCCCCACCGACACCCTAGTTCAAAGGCATTCCTTCTTCTTGGGCAGTGGTTCTCAACCTTCCTAACACAGTTCCTCATGTTGTGGTGACCCCCCCCCCAACTATAAAATGATTTTCGTTGCTACTTCATAACTGTAATTTTCTTACTATTATGAATCGGGCGACCCCTGGGAAAGGGTCGTTCGACCCCCAAAGGGGTCGTGACCCACAGATTGCGAACTGCTGTTATCAGACCAAGTAAAACCCGCCTCCTCATGCTTTTCAAGGTGGGACGCTGCCGAGGCCACCGCCACATCTTTCTCTCCGACTGGAAGGACTACTACTGGTAAATACTGCTGATGAGTGAGCAGTTGGTTCCAGTCGCTGCCCTGGGCATTTTCAGGCATCCTCTCTCTTACCAACTGCATCAAATCTGAGGAAGATGTGTAGCATTAGCCACCTTGTGCACATGAAGAGTATGGAAAGCTTAGAGGGCCTCAGTCACTCGCTTACGCTAAAACGTCGAGTGAGGAATGAAAGAGGGAGCTGAACTGCTGTCGGTCTGCTGTGGACGCTTCCCTTGGTCTATCTGTGTGCACCTGCAGTGGAGGCTCGCATGGCCTTTAGATGCTGAGCACGCTTCATGGTGCTAGGAATAAAGGCCTGGCCATCTGCTTCCAAAAATTAGCCACCCAAGTCTCTCTGCGTCGTCACAACAGCTTTATCGGCAACTGCTCATGAGGACGTTGTAGGACTTGACAACACTTCATTCTGTTGTGTGTGGTGTAACCATTGGTGATGGGGCGGGGGGCCGAGGTGTTCAGCGCCAGTCTAACTCTATGGCAGCTCGCAGCATCCAGTAAGTTAAAGTTAACAGCATACTTGTTGTCCGATTCAGAAATGTCATACTCCTCCTTCGCAGTGTTAAATGACACATTTTAATAAAGAGGTGAAAGCCTGTCTTAGCCACACAGGGCAGTGAATACTTCTGGAAGATTTTATAGAACTCACTAGGGAGGACATTTGTCAGGTGTTGGCATCAGAGCAGAGGAGAATCCGAAGAGGAGATGCGTGCACAGCTCGGGAATGTTGAGATCAAGGTGCCAGCAGAATGTTTTCCCACGAGGGTGGGGCCAGGAGCGACAGCTGTCTTCTGTCCAGAATATCTTTCAACAAGAATTCTGTTTCCTTGCCACCAGCTGTCTAAGGAGGCCTGGTGGTGTAACTGCAAGGGCTTTGGTGGGAACCCAGTTGCCACTTCATGAGCAAAAGAGGAGCTTGTCTGTTTCCTCAAAGATCTTAACAGGAGCCCTGGTGGTCTAGTGTTGGGCCGCAGTCTGCACAGTCAGGTGTTCCAAACGTCTCTGAGAAAGAAAGACGAGGCTTTCTAGTCCAGCCTTGGAAACCCACAGGGGCAGCTCTGTCCTCTCCTATAGAGTCGCCATGAGATCAGAATTGACTCAGTGGCAATGAGTGTGAGTTTTGAACAACCTAAGTCTCAGAAATCCAGAGGGACAGTTCTACTCTGTCATCCTAGGGCAGGGGTCCTCAAACTTTCTGAACAGGGGGCCAGTTCACTGTCCCTCAGACCCGTTGGAGGGCCGGACTATAGTTTAAAAAAACACTATGAACAAATTCCTATGCACACTGCACATATCTTATTTTGAAGTAAAAAAACAAACAGTGCAAAAACACCTAGTGGGCCGGATAAATGTCCTCGGCGAGCTGCATGTGGCCCACGGGCCTTAGTGTGAGGACGCCTGTCCTAGGGTCACTCTCAGTTGAAATCTAATCGATGCAATGTGTTTGGTTTGGGTTTTGATTTATCATTTCTCTGCAGTTTACAGAATTGTGAAATAACTCCCATGGAATCAGATTCAGAGAATCTGGGGGACCCCAGAAGCCTATTGCTCTCCAGTCAAGAAGTGCTCTACCGAGTGACGGAGACTAAAGATCGTTCCAGCCTCATCTTCCTCCCCAGGAGGGGCTGGTGGGTTTCAACTGCTGACCTTGAAGTTAGCATCTCAGTACTTACCCCGCTTCCCCACCAAGACTATAACTTGGAAGGGGTAGGGTGTCATAGACAGCGACCAGTCAGATGTGCCCCTGTAAGAGGGAAGTAGAATAGAATAGAATACAGCTACATTAGAGGGGTTCTGAAAGTCTGTGGAAAAATTACATTCTGTTTTAATTACCTTTTTCTACACACTTTTTGAAGCCCCCTTGTATGAATCTCTACGTTCAAAATGCCATTCCACTTCTAACTGGCAAAGCGACTCTGGGTATGTGATGGAGTCTGGCAGGACTTTATTTTCCCCTTGTGTAAATGGATATGACGTTGCTCTTGTTCATCCATTGTAGCGAGTACATACTATGACATATGAAAAATGTTTAAAACAGTGCTTGACCCCTAATACTTATCCAATATGTGCTATTATGACCTTCAATTTGTTGGTCTCACTGAAAACATTTTTTACTTTCTGCCACATCGTTGTTTGGCCTGGTTCTCTCTCTTTCTCTTATTGTGAATTGGGTGGACGTTCACCGAATAGATCATCAGTTATCCACTCAATAATTCATACATACTTTGTTTCATCTCATTGAGCACAGTCCCCACAATGAAATATCTAGTATCCCATTTCCTCCTCCCGTCTTCTATTTTTATTCCTCCTTCTTTCTAAGCCTTCTGAACTTTGCCTTTAGGTGAATGCTGACATTTTGAT